TGAGCACCTTCGGGAAGACGGCGGAGCCCCACTGCTGCAAGTGCTTGGCTGCCCTGTCCTGTCCTGTACAATCCGAGTCACCTATTCACTCTAAGTATAACGCTCTTGTTGTCCCGTTACTGGAAGTCTACAGGGTTCCCCTGAACCCCAAACCCCTAAACCCTATAAACCCTACACCCTAAACCCTAAACCCTAAACCCTAAACCCTAAACCCTAAACCCTATTGTCAAGTGCCAGATGTCCCGAAGGCAAACTCCGCAGATGTAACAACCGTCGGTTGGACGAGTCGAGCGACCACATCACCACATGATACCTCAGCTTGGCTTGGGTTCAGGGTTTAGGGTTAAGAGTATGTCGCAGTATACCCTAAACCCTATAAACCCTAAACCTTAAACCTGCAAAAAGGGGTCCAGGACCTGTTCTCTTGGCCCTCAGACCTTTGAGCCCTAAACCCTCAATCAAACCCTCAACCCTTAACGCCTGATACACCCTAAACCCTAAACCATAAACCCGAAACCCTTAACCCCCCTACCCTAAGTCTCCTACGCCCTTCAACCCTTCATCTACTTAGGGTCCCGGCCTGTGCATCCCGCGCTTTGGGCAAGGTGCCTCCATACCCTGGGCACCGAGACCTTCGCAGCTCGCACGCTGCCAGGGTTAGCGTTTAGGGTTTAGGGTTTAGGGTTTAGGGTTGAGGGTTTAGGGTTTAGGGTTTTAGGGTTTAGGGTTTAGGGTTTAGGGTTTAGGGTTGAGGGTTTAGGGCTTAGGGTTTAGGGTGTTGAGTTTGCAGGCTTTGGGGGATGTAGGGGTTTCCGGAAATAGGGGTACCCGTTTTGGTTCTTTTTTGGGGTCTAAAAGGGTATCCCCCAATTTTTGGAAATACCCATGTAGGGGTTCGGGTGAAAGGGGTTGAGTGGCTAGGAGCTTCAGGGTTAGGGACTTTAGGTTTAGAGGGAGGGCAAGGAAGGACAGCAGCTTGAGGTCAGGCAGCTTAAGCCTCCACCCATGGCTTTCTTAGATTCGCTGAGAGTGTCGCGTCTCCTTGTTCTACTAGGGGGTTGATGAAAATGGATGAGCCCGGCTACAGGTGGGGGCTCTGTTCCCTGTTTAAGGCTACACCAAAAGCCCCAACCCACAAACCCGAACGTGTCCCGTGGCCAACTCTGCTGATCCTCCCACTGTGGAGACTTTGCGTAGGGGGAGGGCAGCCTCACGTCGTCTAGCGCGCTCGGACCCTGACAAAACCCTTTCAGGCATGGGGCACGATTCCTCGCGCCCTAAACCCTAAACCCTGAATAATAGACCCTAAACCCTAGACCCCAAACCCCAAACCCCAAACGCCAAACCCCCAGCCCTAAACCCCAAACCTTACCCGCTGCAAGCTGAGCTGGAGACTATTCCGCCCAACCACCATGGTCGGCGCAAACTGGCCAGGTGAATGGCGGGGAGCAGGGTCCTTTAATTAGCAAGGTTGCCCAGGAAACTTAGCACGAAAAAGAGGGCTTACTGTAGGGTCTTAAGGGATAGGGCTATAGGCTTAGGGCTATAGGGCTTAGCGCTATAAGGCTTAGGCCTGAGGGTTTAGGAGCTTGGGGCGATAGGGCGTACGCCTTAGGGCTTGGGAATCCATCAACTTGTAGTCTGGCTTTTGGAATGGGGCGCACACGTTAAGCAATGAGAGCGTGACCGCGGTCTCTAGAAACCAATACAATCCCTAAGCCCTAATAAGAACCCTAAAAACATGGTGTGTCTCCTCCGCCATGGGTTAAGGGTAGCTTCAGCTTGGGAGTACCCAGGTAGGATCTGCAAACTTTGCAAACCCTAACCCCTAAAGCCCTAAACCCTAAACCCCAAGCCCTAAACCCCAAACCCTAAACCCCAAACCCCAAACCCTAACCCTAAACCCTAAACCCTAAACCCTAAACCCTAAACCCCCCAAAAACCCAAAAAGCCAGGCTCAAGGGTGGATGGGGGCCCCGGGCCTCGCTGAGCTGAGTGACTGCCGTCTGGTTGATGGCCATCCAATCGCCCGGGATGTTGGCAACCCTGAGAGGGTTTAGGGGTTTAGGGGTTTAGGGTTTAGGGGTTTAGGGCTTAGGGTTAATTTGGAGTTTTGGGCCTAGGTTTACGGATTCGGGCTTGTAGTTTAACATGTTTTAGGGAGGGTTTCGGGCTAAGGCTTAGGGTTATGGGCTGGGATGTTCCCCATTATTCTAACAGCCCTTAATAGGGATGATCATACGGGGTACAATAATCCCTATTAAGGACTGTTAGTATAAGGGGCAACATCCCAAGTTATGGGGACCATTGAAACATCACGCACCCACATCTGCCCGGCATTTATGACTCTACAGACACCCCTAAATCTAAACCCTAAAAACCCTTGAAAAAAAAACCTACAAGCCCTAAGCCCTATAATCCCCAAATCCCATAAACCTTAACTATAAACCCTAAACCCTGTAAACCCTGAGCCCTGCAAGCCCAAACAAACTCTGAAAACCCCCTAAACCCCTATAGTGCCCTCATCCTATGAACCCTCACCCCTATAAACACTAAACCCTATAAAACCAAAACCCTATAAACCCCAAACCCTGGAAACACTGAACTCTGTAAACCCTACAAGCCCTAGAACAAAAAAAACTAAATGCCTCAAAGGGCTCTGCCTCTCAGGCCCCTAAAGCCAAATGGACTCCCATATCCCTTCATTTGGGAAAAAGGGTTTTAGGGTTTAAAATTTCAGGTTTGGGGCGTTTGGGGTTTAGGGTGCTTAGGGTGTTTAGGGATTAGGGATATTATGTTCTAAGAAATATGTTCCCAATGGAGCTTTAAGACCCGAACCTCCTCCGAGATGTGAAGCGCAAGGCCCTAAACCCTCTAAACCCTCTAAACCCTCTAAACCCTCTAAACCCTCTAAACCCTCTAAACCCTCTAAACCCTCTAAACCCTCTAAACCCTCTAAACCCTCTAAACCCTCTAAACCTTAACCCTATAAACCCTAAACCTTAAACCCTAAACCCTAAACCCCTAAACCCCTAAACCCTACAGCGTAAGGCCCTGGCCAGAAGATGTTGTGGACGTGGTTGTCGTCCGAGCCCATGCCGTTGGGATAGTCCAGATCCTGCCCGCAAACTCCAACATTCCCTGGTTTAGGGTTTAGGGTTTAGGGTTTGGGGGGTGGGGGGGGGGAATTCTATGAGGATGCCTACCTAAACCCCAGAGCCTAAACCCTAAAATGCAACTTAGAAGTCTTAAGGGATATTCCTAAATCGCAGGCGGGGGTCTATGAGCTGCTGCAACAGGCCGCGCAGAGGGCTTCAAGCTATAGGCTTTAGAGGGCTTAAGATTGATGGATTTAGGGCGGGGTGTAGGGTTTAAGGTTAGCAGTGCTCACCCCCAAAGGGCCGCTGTCGGGGCACCTCCTGGCATACACCTAAACCCTAACTCTACGTATACCATAATTCAAAGACGCGAAAGTACTAAACCCGAAATCATGGAATTCCAAAACCCCAATTTTCCCTAGCTTTAAGTTTTTAGGTTTCAGGTTTTGCGTTAGGGTTAGGGGCTTCTGGTTTCGGGGTGTTATATAGGTTTCAGGGCTTTGGGTTCAGGATTACGGGTGGGACACCCCAAAAGTCCTGTAAACTATAAACCCTCAAAGCCAATGGCTGCCAGGCCTCGATGGTCAACGCAAAGGACTGGCAGGAGCGGCACTCCTTTCCGTCCTCTCAGCGTCGGGGCCCAGGCTTTTGCTTTGGATTTAGGAGCTCTACCGGGTTGAGGGTTCAGGGTTCAGGGTTAAGGGTTCAGGGTTCAGGGTTTAGGGTTTAGGGTTCAGGGTTCAGGGTTTAGGGTTTAGGGTTAAATACGAAGGACCCAAGCCAAGCCCTACAGCCTAGACCCTGCGTACTTCGGGGGATGCTGACCTGCGAGCTGCGCAGGTGTATTGCTTAAAAGAGAGGACCGTGGAGAAGCACGTGGAGTCGCAGTGCTGCATGCGCAACGCACAAGACACCCGAGGCTGAACCTCCCAGGATGGGCTATTAGGCCCTATAGTCCCCATGATCAAACCTATAAAAGGCCTGTTTAACAGGTTGTAGGGTATAGTAGCCCGTCCTGGTCAACCCTAAACCCTGAACTAAACACTAAACCCTAAACCCAGTCCTGTGGTTTCAAGCCTTTTTGGGATCGAGTTCAGCAGGGCTTATATGTGTCGGCGATGGCGCAGACAAACCATGGGTTCCGAGTTCCGGAGAATCGGTTTAGGGTACCTTGAAAGCCAGTAGACTAGTATTGCGGGCTACAGTTTCCTATTTGAGGCCATAGAAGCGTCTTACTGGGTTGCCCAGTACCCTGGGATTAACAAGGGTGCCCTTTTTTGCTTAAAGGGGTTCAGAAGGGAACCTAAACCCCCCAAAAAGGGAATAAGGGCACTACTGGGCATCCTAGCTTATTTTGGGTAACTAGGTAAGGAGAAGCAAAACGACTGACGGGATCCTTGGAAGCTTGCGGCAAGGAAATTCACATGAGCACACCAACAGAAAATAGTTTCAGGCAAACCGAAACCATGAACTCTATATACCCTAAATTCTAAGCCCCAAACCCTAAACCCTAAACCCTAAACCCTAATCCCTAAACCCTACCTCCGAACCCTATGCCGGTGCCTCCTTTCTGCAACGCATCCTAACCCACTGCATGACTCGAGGGTGAGACGTACGGTCTAGGGTTTCTTGAGGAAGTTACACAAGGAGCCTTAGGGATTGGGGTTTGGGGTGTGGGGTTTAGGGGCCCATTTAGGGGTAGTCTGACTTGATGAGGCACGCCCTTGTACAACCCAAGGGCCCATACTTCAAAACCTTCTAGGAAAGGTACAGCACAGTGTAAGTACCCTTAGACCGCTTGGCGTCTCTGTGCCCTTAAGCTGGTAACCTGCGTAACCTGCTCTATCTGAAAAGGGAGGGTCCAAGCAGGAAAGCGTCTGTGCCCACACCATCTCCCCCAACTCAGGTGGCAATGCCGAACTTCTTCTGCATCTGCGCGCGGGATGTCCCATGAAACCCATGCACAGCAAGCAGGGGTTTAGGGTTTAGGGTTTAGGGCTTAGGGCTTAGGGCTTAGGGTTTAGGGTTAGAAGCATGTCCCCGCGTGTCATAGCATAAGTCAACAGCTTGCTGGAACCGCTGCAAAAGTCAGGAAGTTTCACTGCTGCAAACCATCAGCAGCTCAACATAATGTTCATATATTCTCTGACCTTCTCCATCTGGGTTGCCCAGTAACCTGGGATTAAAAAGGGTGCCCTTTTTTGCTTAAAGGGGTTTATAAGGGAACCTAAACCCCCCACAAAAAAAGGGAATAAGGGCACTACTGGGCATCCTAGCCATCAACTTGAGATGACTATTCAAGTACGTGCCTTGCCCTACATCCACACATGCGCACGCGACGATTCTGCATCCCTGGATAGTGGACAGCCTTGCCGGGCAACTTCCGCCGAACGATGAGGCCTTCGGAGAATCACTGAGTCTCAGTCACTGAGTTTTGAAGTCGGCACATGGTCCGTGCTCCTAGTCATGGTTCGATCATTTTTTAGCTCCCTGCTACAATACAGCCCTTATACTCAGGGCACCTGCAAACGACAAAACTTAGGGAACTGCCCCTCTGAACCGGACAGCAGGTTGCTGTGGACGTGACTGAAACGGGTCAAGCCCCCTGACTCGAACCCTAGAAGACATAAACTGCAAGCCGGCCAAGACCCCATTCCAACACCTTCAACCCTAAACCCTAAGCCCTATAAACCTTAAACCCTAAAGCCTAAACCCCAAGGCCTAAGCCCTAAACCCGAAAGACCCCAACTCTAACCTAAAGCCCCACGGGATGGAAAGAAGGACGTGTTTCCGGCATTGGAGATCTGCGGCTGCGGCTTTTGTCGCTGAGCACAAGGGTTTAGGGTTTAGGGTTTGTAGGGTTTAGGGTTTGTAGGGTTTTGAGCTCAGTTTACAGACTGCTCGAGAGGGAGTGGGGGGGGGGGGGGGGGGGGTTGGGAGTTCAGGGTTCAGTGTCCTGACCACGCTTGAAGGGATTTTCTGGGGACCTGAACGGATCTGAGCATGTAGGTGCTTCTAAGGATTAAAGAGAGGGTAGTTGGGGGGCTCTCTTAACCCAAGTTAAGGGTGCAGGGTGCAGGGTCTAGGGTTCCTAAACCTCCAACCCTAAACTCTGCCCCATGGCTTTTCGGGGCCAGTTCTCCTAACCCTACCCCTAGGGCTCCAGGTATACAAATAATACCCACATTGGGGTCTAAAGCCTTTGAATAAATAGCTACTTTGGGCACTTTTGGAGCCTTCCACCCCAAGCCTCAAAGTCCAAAATCCTGAGGCCCCAGGCCAAGAGGTTTCAAAGGCGAGCGTGTCTTGTACCCGGTGCGTAGGATGCCCCACGGGGACACGGGCGGCCTTCCGGGGCGGGGGGGGGGGCTTCAGGAAAGGCTTAGGGTTTCTTGGGATGGTTTTGGGGTCAAAGGGTGGTTGGATACAAAGCCCTAAATCCTAAACCCAAAATCCTAAACCCTAAATCCTAAACCCTGAATCCTAAACCCTGAATCCTAAAACCCTGAACCCACCATGGCCACTGCTTCGAAGCTGGAAAGTTAGGGCCTTGGCTTTGGGACTTCGGGCGGGAGGGGGGGGGGACTGAGGTCCATTGTTGGATTCTCTGTAAGAAGATTGGAAGTCCGGAAACACTGCGGTCATGCTCTTGAACAGGTGGAGGACCACCAAATTCCCTGCAAACGGGAAGGAAGGCTTAATCAACCCTCAAGAATTCAAGATCTTATCCAGCTGACCGTGGCTGCACTTAGTAGGGTAGGTACAAAAAATTTCGCTGCCTTATTCAGAAACCCCATAAACCCAAAACGGCTAAGGATCTAGGGTTACAGTAAAGTACCACAGAGTGAAGTTCAAAGAGGCCCGCTACGTTCGCGAAAGCAGAAACAAAGGCCACATGTCGACCGCAAAACAGTCTATCTGTACACTTCACGGGCTTGGACTTGGGATTGGGGGGGGTCTATGGCAGTCTATGGGGTGTGGAAGCGTTCTTCGCTACCGGCATCGACATCACGCGCGAATCGAACAGATTCTGTAAACATATCTAGCAACCAACTCACAAACGAATGAGTAGCAATAGAATGCCACGACAACCTCATTCAGACGTCGCGCACACCTTCTGCCAGAGATCTGAGGAAGCCACGAAGCAACTACAATTCTGGGCATGACGTTGACGACTAATGATTGAGTACATTCTGACAACAATAGATATTCTCACTGCTTATAACTCTCATTTGCATAGTTAAGTTATGAGTAATCCCATCCCCCTATTATTGAACCCGGGGGCCCCCCCCTCCCCAATAGAAACTAGAAACGTGTTTTTGATATTGGAGGGGGGGATGGTTCTATTAAAATTGCGGGGATGTTTTTATCCAAATGTCATGTTTGGGGTCCAAAGGGTTTAGGGTCTAGGCTGGGAAGGGAGGGAAGGGAGCTTCAGGATGTTGGTTGGCTTGAGAGTTTTGGGACCCCCCCTCTCCCCCCCCCCCCCCAGTTTGGAATAGGGTTTAAAAGGCGGGGTCGGTTTCGGCAGGATTTTCCGGAAAGTGTTTTTATTATTGGGGGGTACGTGTAATACAAGGGGGATGGGATAATTACGATTCGTATCATTTGCTATTCAAGGTCGACAGCATGCGATTTCGTGTCCCTCCCTGATGATTTGGCCTTCAGCAGCCACCGAACAACCAAAATACCCAACAAAGACACAACCCTAACGAATAGGATCAAGCATCTCAGACTAGAGACATAAAAATCATAACTCTCACAGCAGTTCTCCAAGAAGAAGAGTATTTCAAAAGAATAGCGATGGCGATCCGACGATCACTGTAATGGTGCGAATCACCATGCGCCTACGAAGAAGACAAGCAATAAGACAAATCATACGATTAAGAACAAGTAGAACAACAACAGTAGTCAGAACTAGAAGGCACAAAGAATAGCAACCTACAGACACACACACACACACGTCTCCTTCAAAACCCACGAAACCTAAACCCTCCCTAACACCCATGCCCACAAAACAACTTCGACCACGGGCGCCTTTTCGTGTGCTTGGCGCTCGTTCCGCCACCGTGAGGGTGCTTGTGCCTGTCCGTTTGGGCTCTCGGGCTTTCGGGAATCGGCTTAGTGATAGTTTAGGGTTTAGGGTTTAAGGTTTAGGGTTTAGGGTTTAGGGTTGTTCCTGTGGGAGTCAGTTCCTTAGTCTTCCATTTCGCAATGGATTCTACTTGCCGCCGAAAAGGCACTACATTTGAGCCTTTAGGCTTGTTGCACATGGACGACACGTGAACATGCCCAGACGGGCCAACCAAACCCTAAACCCTAAACCCTACACCCTACACCCAAACACCCTAAACCCTACACCCTAAACCCTGAACCCGGGTTTCGGGCTTACAGAGCTCCTAAAGCCCACAAATTCACCTCGAACGTACATAAGTTGCTTCGGATTCCAATTGCGGTCCCGCCGAATACCATAGAGAATGCCTAAACCCTAAACCCTAAACCCTAAACCCCAAACTCTAAACCCTAACCCTAAACCCTACTCAGTAGCAGTCATTGCTCTCCAGGAACCTCTGAAACTCTGAGAACAATCTCCCTTCGGGGCATAAGGAGGGACCCCTAGAAGGACCCTCTTATTCCCGTAGATAACCCCTATATATGCACCCTATGTAGTTCCGATATACCTAAGTAAGGCCCCCCAGGTCCCTCAGAAAGGTCCCTCCTTTAGTCCCTTGACTCCCGCATGCTTGGGAGAAGTGGGCGACAATGCAAACATGAAGACTTGCGAGCCCAGTGTGAGTGCCAAAAAGAAGGGCTGCGGTTCTACCGGCCATCTAGAAAGCAGTTGTTTTAGATTGGGGCATTTTAGTTTAGAAGACACACTACTGTCGGTATCTCTGGGATACTCCAGGGCCTTCTTCGAGGGAAGCCGAGTATTTACCCCGGAGCCGTCAACCCTAACCCTAAACCCCAGAACCCTGAACTCCCTGAACCGCAAACCATAAACCGCAGAACCCTGAACCGCAAACCGTAAACCCCAGACCCCGAACCCTCAAGCCAAACATTCAAGCCCAAGGCCCCTCGCCACTTCTACCCTAAACCCTAAACCCTAGACCCCTAAACCCCTAAACCCCTAAAACCCCAAAACCCGACACCCTACACTGGGCATCCGCGCGGATCCATCGCGGTACCGCGCACAGAGGGGCGCCAGCCCAGCCATCTGTTCACCCCTGCCTTGCCTGCATGCAGATGAGAGCCTAGGGGTGAGGGTTTTAGGTTTTCTGGTATGCGAAGCCCATTGAGATTGGCCCCCAAGGGCCCAAGGTCCATGTACCTATATAGTAGATTTTCAGGCCCTAAAGCCACTGCATTCTCTTCAGGGCCGAAGTAGAAACTAGATGGGTACATGGATGGGGTTGAACCACCCGAACCCTAAACCCTAAACCCTAAACCCTCAACCCTAAACCCTAAACCCAAACCTCAAACCCTAAACCCTAAACCCTACACCCCAAGCCTGGAGGAGGGGCGGAAGGGACGCAGGAGAAGGGGAAGGGGGAGTGCACTGCAGAAACCATAGACTGCAACATGGCGTCGGTCGATCATTCTGGTCATCTCTATCGGGAGGGGTCCCCCTAGCTATAAGCAGAATTAAAAGGCCTATTTCTGGGGTTCAAGTAAATACCCTACAACCTATAGACCCTATAAAACCGTAAACCCTATCATACAAGGACTATACAGCCGTTTTCGTGTAGCAGGTCTTAAAAGCGTGGCATGCTTCGCCACAGAAATGCTTCGATCGTCAGCTGGAAGCAAGAGGGCACAGGGCCCTAGCGAGCCAGCTTGTTGTGAAGCTTGGCCACAGCGTCCTACTGGAGTCCTACTTATACACGTGCTATAGGGTTAAAACCCCTGACTTGCCACCACCCTTTGCAAAAACAGTCTACTCCAACTTCGTTAAACAATGACAGTGAAACTGACCTTCTTGAATTGAGCGTCACTGAGCCACCAGCTGTTGTTGTGTACCGGACATCAGTGCGATCATCTGCGCAGCTACATCACATACCAAGGCGCGGCTAACCCCTCATGCAACCGGCAATCACGCTTGGGCGACGCCTGTGTCGCCCAGTGTGCTGCCAAAGCCGATGCCCTTGGGACCAAACAGCTTGCTGTAGTCCGCTTCGCAATACGGCTGCCCGTCGTGGTCCTTGTATTGCCCGCCTCGGAGGCTCTTCCCACAGGCTTTGCAGCAAAAGCAAAGCACATGCCAGGTCTGACCCAACCCCTTGATCCTTGGTAGCCCAGTAATAATATTATGATAAGGACACCCTTTTTGGGTTGGTTATTTAATATTATGACAGGGGCACCCTTTTTTGGGTTGGTTATTTCATAATTAAGGGAAACCATAAACAAAAAAAAGGGTACCACTGGGCTACCAAGGATCTGCTCAGCGGCATAGACGCTCTTGCTACAGGCAGGGCACTTCGGGGCAGCAGGCTGCAAGGCGGACTTAGCCATCCCGGCGAGAGACTTGTCTGCTTCTGCAGTTTCGTCGGCTGCCCCTGGAACTGGCTTTTGGCCTTCAAAGGCAGCCATCCGGTCTTTGAGAGCACTGGCATATCCCCCTTCTGGGGATGAGGCTGGGGCTCCCTCCTCTGGAGCTTTGGCAGCAATCCCCGTGTCCCCAAGCGTCGCGCCGAAGCCGATGCCCTTGGGGCCAAAAAGCTTGTTGTAGTCGGCTTCACAATACGGGTGGCCCTCGTGGTCTTTGTACTGGCCGCCACGGAGACTTTTCCCGCAGGCCTTGCAGCAGAAGCACAAAGCATGCCAGGACTGACCCAAGCCTTTGACCTCCTCCGCCGCAAAGACGCTCTTGCCGCATGCTGGGCATTTCGGCGCCGAGAATGGGACGAAACCCTTTGAGGCTCTTGTCGGTGATGCATCAGTTTGGGCGACATCAACCTTGGCTTTTGGTGTACCCTGCCCTTCAAAGGCTGCCATTTTCTCCTTCAAGCCACCCCCTGCATAGCCCTCGCTTGGAACTTCTGTCGATGATGCTCCTGCAGCAGCAGCAATCCCCGTGTCCCCAAGCGTTGCGCCGAAGCCAATGCCCTTGGGGCCATACAGCTTGTTGTAGTCGGCTTCACAATATGGTTGGCCATCGTGGTCTTTGTACTGGCCGCCACGGAGACTTTTTCCGCAGGCCTTGCAGCAGAAGCACAAAACATGCCAGGACTGACCCAAGCCTTTTACCTCCTCCGCCGCAAAGACGCTCTTACCGCATGCTGGGCACTTGGGCGCAGAGGATTGGAACCTAGCCGAGGGAGCAGGTGCTTTTGCGACAGAGTCGGCGGGCGCGGTCTTCTTCTCGAAAGCAGCGCGGCGATCTCGAATCGAGACGGCCTCTGTAACCTCTGCATCAGCATTGGCTGCCTCCTCCGCCGCCACAATGCCCGTGTCGCCAAGTGTGCTTCCAAAGCCAATGCCCTTGGGACCAAACAGCTTGCTGTAGTCCGCTTCGCAATATGGCTGCCCGTCGTGGTCCTGATGGTCACGGTGTCACAGAACATTCTCACTCTACAGCCAGACACCTGAAAAGACCGTCGGCAAAAATTGCCAAAGCCGAAACTAACAGGGGCCTTCTATAGGGGCCTTGATGATTAGAACAGGGTTTTGGGGCCAATTATAGGATACTTATAAAGGGACCCTAAGGAAAAGTACGAGCAAGTTTTTCCGACCCCTACATTACCCCAACAAGTCCCCAACCAGACGAACCCGACGTCTCCTTGTAGTTCCCTCCACGCAAAGACTTGCCGCAAGCTTTGCAGCAGAAGCAGAGCGGGTGCCAGGAACTGTCGAGGGCTTTGACCTGCAGGGCAGAAACCCTCTTTAGCCTCGACCGGGAACGGGGCTTCCACCGATGCACCGCATTTATACTTTATAATCACCCGAACTGAAACCGAGATGGTAAAGCTCTAGAAGCTAGGCTGAACCCTAAACCCTAAACCCTAAACCCTAAGCCCTAAGCCCTAAGCCCTAAACCCTAAACCCTAAACCCCTCCAACCCTCCACATTTTGGAGCCTCTTCTGCTGCGTAAACACTCTTCGAGCAGGCTGGACACTTCGGAGCGGCGGCGAACTTCGCCATGAGTTCGGGCTTTGCTTCTGCAATGAACTCTCTTTGTCCTTGTTTAGGGTTTAGGGTTTAGGGTTTAGGGTTTAGGGTTTAGGGTTTAGGGTTTAGGGTTTAGGGTTTAGGGCTAAACAAATGCGGGGTTCTCTTGCTCCTTGCGTTGGGCGCTTTGAGGGTTGCAGGTCTTGGGCGCATCTGGAGTTTTTAGCAGGGATGTCTCTTCCAGCGGTGCATATGAGCCCTGTGGTCTCCTAAGCCAGGGTTTTTAGGGTTAGGTTTGGGTTTAAGGGCTTAGGGGGGTTGGGGGTTTGGGGGTTTAGGAGGTTTAGGGGGTTTAGGAGGTTTAGGGGGTTTGGGTGTTTTGGGGGTTGGGGCGAGGCTTTGGAGCTCAGGGGTTACAACTTCGGGATTGGATTTGGAGTTTAGTCTTGAAGGCTTAGGGGTTTAAAGTTTTGGGGGTTTAGGAGTTTGGGGTTTAGGGATTAACTAATAAGGAGAAGGCCTTGAGGTTTACGACTTCAGGATTAGGTTTGGGGTTTAGGGTTGAGAAATTAAGCGTTTGGAGGAGAAAGGATTATGGGGTGTAGGGAGTAAAGAACCTGAACTCCCTAAGGTGAAGCTTTCTCCAAAAAAAACCATCCTAGGGGAAATGGAACTTGTGTCGCTTTTGCTCAGTTTGGGGTGTAGGTTTATTAGGGTTGAGGAAACCAAACCACTGAGAAGAGGTACCAGCAATCCTACCTCAAAAGGGTTTAGGGTTTAGATCCCAAAAATCCCTGAACCCTAAAGCCAATCAGCAGAGCTTGACAGAAACAGCTACGACTGCAGCTGGCCTCCGTGTCCCGTGAGGCCAACAAGCCAAACCGCACGGAGAGTGCGGTTAAACCCCCCCCCCCTCGCCCCAACAATTTGGGGCCCCCTCTCTACTACCCCTGCCCCCTTAGGTTCCCCCCTTTCTTAACCTTAGTTAGGCTTAATTGTCCCTAAGTTGCCTTAATTATGTGGGGAACCTGCGGGGGGGGGGGGGGGGGGCATAGTAGGGGAACCCAGGAAACAGCCCCAAAGATGGACCCTTTAGGTACCTCCTTGGGAGGGTTTTCGGCGTCTCAAGTCCTGGGCTATAGTTTCCTATACTAAATTTCAGACCCTAGGCCCTAAACCCTGAACCCCTAGACCCCTGAACCCAGAGCCGTATGTTCCTTTAGGGCATTCTTTTGAAAGGAATTGCACTTCAAGACCCTCTGAACAATTTTCCTGAAAAGAATCCTCTTCAACCCAATTAGGGTTTAGGGTTTAGGGTTGAGGGTTGAGGGTTGAGGGCCTACCAAGACAAGGATCCCAGCCTTTGAAGCGCATGGCGCGCTCCAGGTGCGACAGCTGGCCGATCGATGCCCTGGCCCAAACGTCTTCTTCTTTTTCGTGGTTTAGGGTTTTGGGGGTTTAGGGATAGGGTTTGGGGTTTAGGGTTTTGGGGTTTAGGGTTTTGGGGTTGAGGGTTTGGGGTTGAGGGTTTGGGGTTGCCAGTTTGGGGCGTGGGGCGTAGGGGTTGGGGGTTGAGGGGGTAGGGTTTAGGGGCGTACATCGATCACCGAATCCTGCTTTCACGGTTGCGCCAGTGCAAAGATAAGGAGCAGTGCTGCAAAGTGAGAGGTGCGTAGGCAACAAGTTTCAAAGTTCAGCACGAAACCCTACATCCTCAACACCCAAACCCTAAAGGGCTTTGGGGCTAAAGGCTCAGTAATACTCAAAGCTGCAGGCAGGTAAGTGTTGGTAACTTGCTATCTAAATCTTTGGCTTGAGCTTTGTAGGCTGCAAAGGGTTTAGGGTTTAGGGTTCAGCGGGTCTTAGGACAACAGGGTGCTTAAGGTTTAGGGCTTCGGGTTTTAGGGTTTAGGGTTCGGATATTCTAGATTGCCCAGCAACCTAGTTGAGATTCAAAAAGGGTGCCCTTTTGGGGGCTTGTCAGGCAACCTAAACACCCCCCCCCCCCCCCCCCCCCCACAAAAAAAAAGGAGGGGAAAAAAGGGCACTACTGTGCATCCTAAACGGCGACGGCGGCCACCTAAACCCTAGACCCTAAACCCCAAACCCGAAACCCTACATCCTAAACCCTAAACCCTCAACCCTAAACCCTCAACCCTGGAACGCTGGGGAAGTGGAGCTGAGTTGAGGGTGGATATGGGGGTCGAGGGCTTGCCCACCATGGGTAGTTTGTTTAGGGTTTAGGGTTTAGGGTTTGGGGTTTGGGGTTTGGGGTTTGGGGTTTGGGGTTTGGGGTTTAGGGTTTAGGGTTTAGGGTTTAGGGTTTAGGGTTTAGGGTTTAGGGCTTAGGGTTTAGGGCTTAAGGTTAAGGATTAAGGGTTTGGGGTTTAGGGTTTCCTAAACTAGGGTCCCTCTTTGGGATCCCAGCTTAAAGGGTGCCGCCTTATAACAGGCCCTAGTTTAGCGAACTACCCACATCGCAAGAACCCAAACCATAAACCCTAAACCCTAAACCCTAAACCCTAAAACCCTAAACCCTAGGGCTCCAAGAACTCTTCTTTAAGGTTTTGGGCCCAAAGGCCTGACCATAAAAGGTTTTTGGGCAATTTTGAACCTAAGAGTAAGCCCTATAACGCTAAGCCCCTGAACCCTCACGCTGCTCAGATGCGTTCCTCGCAGATCTACGACTCCGACGTGCGATGGCTCTACCCGAAAGAACTGTTGGATAAACACCACCTCCTCCCCCCCCCCCCCCCCCCCCCGCCCATAAAAGTTTAGGGTTTAGGGTTTGGAGTTTGGGTTCAGGGTCTACACCTCCAAAAAAGTCAAGAAACGGTGTAGTTTTTTCATGCGCATGAGGCAACGACAGGCGGAAAACCAACAGTGGACCAACGTGCCAGGAGGAAGTCGCATGACAGTTGCGAAGCCAACTCAGCATGCACCCTTCTTAACCATCCCAAAGACTGCGTGTAGAGCTTGCCCTGAACCCCGAACCCTAAATCCTAAACCCTAAGCACATTCAAGTTAAGACCTTGCCCTAAACCCAAAACCCTAAATCCCAAACCCTAAACCCTAAACCCGGTAAGCCAAGGAAGAGGGTCCAGCATTCCAAGGGGAACTTGCGAATCTCGGTCGACCGCAGCTTGATGGTGGCGAAGTGCTTGTCCTTTTCAAACCCTAACTTAGGGTTTAGGGTTTAGGGTTTAGGGTTTAGGGTTTAGGGTTTAGGGTTTAGGGTTTAGGGTTTAGGGTTTAGGGTTTAGGGTTTAGGGTTTAGGGTTTAGGGTAAACCTAAACCCCAAACCCTAAACCCATTGATCTCGCTCTGGTGGCCGCATGGACTTTGGGCAGGGTTTAGGGTTTAGGGCTTAGGGTTTATGTACGCTAGGGTTCCGAGGACTCTTTTTCTAAGGTTTTTGGGCCCAAAGAGGATCATAAGGGGATTATATTATCCCAAAAAGGTAAAAGGTTACCTACTCTACTACTAGGTTATTCTGAGGATTTTGGGGCCCAAAAGGCCTTAGTATAAAAGGTGTTTGGGCTAGTTTGAGCCTGAGGGATAGGGTGTAGGGTTCAGGGTGTACGGGCATACCAGGATGATCCTTTAGCAACTCTGCTGTGATTATGATGACTTACGGGCCATACCAGGATCATGTAGCAACTGAGCTTTGATGAATTCTGATGCTTAGGGTTTAGGGCTTGGGGTTTGGGGTGATGACCCCAGTCTTTGTAGACTTGTCCCTAAGCCGCTGACGTGATAGAGCAAGGTTAGCTTCATAGACTCATAAGGCCACAACAGAGGTGCTGCAAATCCGCCAGCGTACGCGACACGGAACTAAGTTCCAAAAAGAGCAAACAGGGTTGCCGTTATTGGTATCTAAAAGTTCAAACTCCTGAACAGCAAACCCTCAACCCTAAACCCTACACCCGGATCCCAGCCATGCCTTCGTGATCACAGTGGCAAAAGTGCCTGCAGCACGGATGAGCCTCAGTCAAGGCATAGATCCCGAAGGTTTAGGTTCAGGGAAACCCAAGATCCTCCTCATCATCGCCGTCGTGAAAGGATCCCTACACCCCCAATCCTGAACTCCAAACCCGTAAAACCTAATCCCCACACTCTTCAAGCCCTAAACCCCTAAAACACCACATCCTAAAACCCCAGAAAAAACCGATAACCCGAAACCCCTAAACCCCCAAAACATTTAACTCATTAACCCTAAACCCCCTAAACCCCCCTAAACCCTTAACCCTAAACCCCCATATCCTAAAACTCCGAAAGCCCTAACCGATTCCAATCTCAGCCCGGCGCTGCCCCCCGGCGCCTGCTGCAAGGCGCTTGGCAGATAGGGATTCCCCCACTTTCGAACCGGGACTGGGGGTTTAGGGTTTGTAGGGTTTGTAGGGTGTAGGGTTTAGGGTTTAGGGTTAGGATTAGGGTTTAGGATTTAGGGTTTAGAGGGTTTAGGGTTCAGAGGGTTTAGGGCTTTGGGTTGCTCATGCGGTCAGCATCTAAACCATCAACATCTGAGCTAGCATTTGCCGTGTTCACCTATGCAACTTCATCATCCGTTGTGTTTCTATGACCTTTGCTACTTTTATATAGCAGTCTGAACGGAACACAGATGTAGCAAGCAGCGGAGTAGTCGGTCAATCCGAGCGTTCCTCTCTGTACGTTGGAGACGTTAAGCAGGGATTTGCAGGGCTCATGGAACTGCTCCCTAAACCCTAAACCCTAAAACCCTAAACCCTAAACCCTCAACCCTAAACCCCAAACCCTTTCAAGCCTCTGCGGCCTCTGTGCATGGATCTCTTCATGCCCTGAGGTCCACCAGCCCATATGACCAGCCTCCTTTCTGGGCTACAAGCAAACCCTATCCTAAACCGCAGGATCCGTGTGCCTTTGCAGTATATACCTGTACCCGAAGCTCATTGTAGCAAGAACCCCTTCAAGTCCCTAAAACACATACAAAGACATGAATATGTATATATATATATAGATAGATAGATAAATAATATATAAAGCGATAAACAATCAAAGACATATATATATATGTGAACATAAGTATGAACATAAGTATGAATATGAGTATGAATATGAGTATGAATATGAATATGAATATGAATATTCCTTTCTTAAAATTAGACTAGGGGAAACTTGGGTGGCCTGGTCGCAGCTCAATGTTGTGGATAATGGAGCCAGCTGGAATACTCCTGCCAGGGACTGAGGAGTGTAGACTTCTAAGAAACTTCGATCGGGTTTAGGGTTTAGGGTTTAGGGTTCCGTGTCCTTATACTGCGCCTTTCAGCAAAGTAGGAGGCCCCAGAGTCAGAAAGAACTCGCACGCAACAGTGCCCTGCCGAGACCCCCAATGAAAGTTCCATGTTGGGGTGGTACCTAATCTTCTCATGACGTACTTATAATTAGCTGTCCAGAATTCTAGGGAAACAAAAGATTAACCTTTGGGATTATATAGGGACTATGAGGCCCCAAACAGGCTGAAGCGCGTCCTGTGCAAGGCGATGTCCCACACTAGTAGGCGTGAGACCCAAAAATGTTAAAGGTTACCTACTACTACTTAGCATCAATCGAACATCAAAATTCGGCACCCAGAAAGAGGAACCACATGTCGTGGCTGTCGTGGTAGAGCTGATGGGGCCCCTGAAAATCCCAACCCAGATGCACGCTTTCAGTGAACCGCATGAAATTTAGGGTTTCAGGGATTAGGACATTTCGTAGGATGTCCGGCTCAATGCACCCGCCTCAGGGGAAGGCAGTTTCCCGGCACGATGTTGGCGGTTTCGCTGGCAACCACCTGTCGATGTCGAGGTTTAGGGTTTAGGGTTTAGGGTTTAGGGTTTAGGGTTTAGTTCGGGCCTAGCCGGATGGACATGGAGCATTTTCCCGCCTATAATTGCCTTCGGTTGCAGAGATCTAAGCCCTACACAACCGCGAAGGATCTTGTAAAGAATGAAGACAAAGGGCCCATGATTTAGATCAACTTCCCCCAAAAAAATGAAATGTTGCTTGCTTCCGAGACCCCGCCTGGTCCCCTGGTCGAAGTGTCAGTGGTGCCAGGATGTAGCTCAATACGCCGTCCTCCCATGAGCTGGGTTGCCCAGTAACCTGGGATTAAAACGGGTGCCCTTTTTTGCTTACAGGGGTTTATATAGGTCCTAAACCCCCCAAAAAGGGAATAAGGGCACTACTGGGCATCCTAGTGAGTGAGGGTGCGCACAAGAATGGAAACTCTGGAATACACGCGCGGTTCCATTCCACCCGTCCCCCTCAAGATCTGTAGGACGCTGAAAGAAGAGAGGGGACACCTGCAACCCTGAACTTAGGGTTTGCGGTTCAGTGGTTAGGGACCAATTATATAGCCCCAAAACGCCCGTGCCGCTGCAGCAGTTGCGTCCTGGTACTGGATCAGGGCGACGTGTGAGGTGCGCTCTGGGGAGTACTCAATGCGAAGAACCGACGCAGGAATATCCTGCAGCATGAGAAGAGGGGGAAGTTAGGCCCTAAACCCTAAACCCTAAACCCTAAACCCTAAACCCTAAACCCTCGGCCCTGAGTGGTGCCCTAAGCCATAAGAGATGTACTATACTATCAATCTGGGCTCGCCCTGGAAACCCCTTGAAAACATATTTGGGGTTTAGGGTTAAGGGTTAAGGGTTTAGGGGTATTCCTAATTCTGATCCTCTTAAACCCAAAATGGGAAAATGAGCCCATTTGGTCAAGGTGGGAGCTGGACACCATGGTGCAGCCAGGGTTTAGAGGCTTTAGGGCTTTTAGGGTGTAGGGTTTAGGCAGGGAAGCTGATAATGAAACATGCATCGAGGAATGCCGCCCCCGAAACCATAAGCCAAGCCAAGCCATGGCCCTCTCCTTGCGCGCGCGCTTGAAGTCCACGAATCGCAGCCGCTGCATCGTGCCGCCTTCGCGGTGCCGCGTCGTGATCCTGCTCGGAGGTTCATGGGTACTTATAACCACAAGGGTTTAGGGTTTAGGGTTTAGGGGTACTTACAACCACAACTATACATCTACTTATAGCCTACTTAGGGGACTTAGGGGGCTTAAAATGAGTAGAGTTAGCATTGGGGTTATAAGTACCCTGACCTCCAACTGCTGCAGGGAGAGACTTGTTGTTCAGGGCAGAGGGTTTATGCTCTAGGGTGCCAGGTTCGGGTTAGGATACGATAAAAGCCCTATCAACCGACCCTAAGCCCTACACCCTAAACCCTAAATTGCAGGGTTCAGACTTTGGAGGGGGTTTGTGCGGGCATTTCTTCGTCCCGGGGCATCCTGAGTTTTACACAAACGCAATATGGGTAGTTCCCTCAAATTCGGGTTCCTTTTGGGTCCCCGTACCTTACTGGGGTCCGTATTCTCAGGGACCCTACTATTTGGGGGTCTATCTTCGAGGTCCCTTATTCTATTCTCGTAGTCCCCCATATACTACGGCACCCTGATAAGAAGGACCCAAAAAGAGACTCGAATTTCGAGAACTACCCAGACCATCCTGTACAACTGAAAGCAATTCTCGGGCATGTTTGAGTGATGTATCAACTTTAGGCACCAAGTAAGCAGCAAGAGAAGCTGAATCCACCAGCGGACCATGGTGACAAAATGCAGAAATGTGGAAGACTGCATGGGAGGATCTTCATTCTGCTTCAAAACGGCGTCCGTGGATCATCAAAGATCGTGGACCCCGAGTAAATTCCGATACTTACGGGGCTTCCCAATTCACATAAATCAGCACCAACTCAGCACATCATGTGGGGACGAAGACCTGCAATAGTGACAGCCGGTACACCAATCCACCCCTGTGGTGCTATAATAGAATTACCTTCAACAGGTACACAAAAAAAGCCCATTCAGCATGGTTCTTTCTGGGTACCTAATATGATAATGGTACCAGATATGGACCCCTCTGAAAGGGTACTCTAATCCCCATTAAGGACGGTTAGTATATGGGGGGAACAACCCAACCCACCATGTTGACATGGTCCTGCCAACATCACCGCGGCCGGAATGCCGAATCCTTCGAGTTGAGAGCTGCTTGATGACCTTGGCATCTGAACCACTGATTTCCCGTGAATGAGGTTTAGGGTTTAGGGTTTAGGTTTAGGGTTTAGGATTTAGGGTTTAGAGTTTAGGGTTTAGGGTTATGCAGTCAGCAGCACCAAGAATCGTGTTCACCGCTTAGCATGGCTGATCTGTGAGTCCGGCAATCTTTGGCGTCAACCTGTGTTGTCATTGGTACGATGACAGACCCTTGCCGCTAAGACCAGGGTTTGGGGTTGCTTTGGGGACTAAAAGAGCCCTAAAAGGGTTTATTGCTCATACACCCTTACCCAAAAAAATAAAGATTATAATCCCTATATTGCCCGTATATGGCAGAACATTTGTACTTTGTTTTTTTTTTGGGGGGGGGTCTTAAACAAATAGTAGATAGTAGTACTAGGGTATATTTCATGTGGTTTTCAAACCCTGAACCCTACAACCTAAATCCTGAATCCTAAGCCTAAAACCCTAAAACCCTAAACCTCCCAGAAATAACCCCCTAAACCCTGAAGAACAACCCTAAACCCTGAAGAACAACCCTAAACCCTGAAGAACAACCCTAAAGCTTTCCGAACTTCAGGGGCCGGACCCGTCCCCGAAATGTTGACTGAGGCGTCGCCTGGCGTCGGGGCGGCTGCTCTCCAAACCCGAAAGAACTTCCAATAGTGCTTCCAACCTTATAAACCCTAAACCCTAAACCCTAAACCCTAAACCCTAAACCCTAAACCCTAAACCCTAAACCCTAAACCCTAAACCCTAAACCCTAAACCCGAACCCCTAACCCTAAACCCTATCAAGATCTGGGTCGTCAGTATTCGGAATAGAGCCTCCCTCGCTACAGCTGCAAGCGCGTCCAATGATCGGTTGTTTTACGTCTGAGGGCTGGCGCCAAGCCTCCAACAACCGCTCCAGCTTCTGCTGCTTTGCCTCAGGACAGAGGTCCATAGGCCCCTAATCGGCATCGCTACTTTCTACCCCCTGACCCTAAGCCGTGAACATCTCAAAGCAGCAGTCCATGCATAAACTCCGAAGCTCTAAAAAACTACACGGCGAGCGGCGCACTCCCGCCTGTGGCACTTACACGCACAAAGCCCTGCAAGGCATCTACGAGCAACTGCATGACTACATGTGCATTTTCTCAATTAAAGGTCCCCTAATTTAAATGTACCAACATAGCAGATACTTTATTATCAGAACACCCAAAAAGGGAACCCTTGTATTCGGAACCCCCCCCCCCCCCCACAAATCAATGTGTGCATACAACACCACCAGCCGGGCTCCGGGCGAGTGTGAAGGCAGTCCCGACTGTCTGCTTGGGCGCCTCCTCCTTAGGGAAGCCTGCCAGACATCGATAGGGTTTAGGGTGTAGGGTTTAGGGTTTAGGGTTTAGGGTTTGGGGTTTAGGGTTTAGGGTTTGAACAGGCCTTCTTGGGGATTCCTGTAATAAGGAGTAGAGCGTTTGGGTTGGGAAATCAATTTACAATACAATATTACATGAGTTACGATTGGAAAGATGCTGTTCCTAACACCCGTTGATTCGCGCTTGGGTTAGATGCGCTGACCTGCACACGAAGATATCCTAAACCATTCTAATGTCCTGTAGATTCTCTTGTTGACTTAGATCTTCTGACATCGTGGGCAGGTGCTCTCCAAGCCCTGTCAGCCCCTCCCCTTTAAGTCCTAGAAGCCCTATAAGCCGCATAAGGGTTTTTGGTTTAGGGTTTTGGGTTTGGGGTTTATGGTGTAGCTTAAAAAAACACGTAATTAAGCTCTATGAGTGCCTACAGGCCATAACCCTGACTAAACCCTAAACCCTAAACCCTAAACCCTAAACCCTAAGCCCTAAGCCCTAAACCCTAAACCCTATAAACCCTAAACCCTAAACCCTATATACCCTAAACCCTAAACCCTAAACCAGCAGCCCCCGGAGCCCAGGGGTCACCAGCACGGCCTGTCTCGAAGTCGATGTAGGGAACGCGGTTCCGCTTCATGATCCGAGAGTAGCTGCTTGAGGACCTCTGCGGGTAGCAGACACAGAGCAGAACTTGAGTGCGGAGCCCTAAAGATCCCGAAAAACCGAATTAGTGGCAGCTGGCTCCTGATTTCAGTCATTTGGGGCGCAAGTGCGGCTGCAAGTAGGATGCCCGGCAAGGGTTTTCGGGTTTGAGATGCATCTGCTCCACAGGTTCAAACGGCAGGGGCGTGCAACTGATGAATTTCCAGCCGGGCAACGCCGGCAGCTACCTTGGGGGACCAAATGAATCAACCCTAAAATTGGGGTCATATACTTTATATTTACAGTTCCTATTGAGGTATATGAACCATAAACCCTTTTAAGGCTCATTTGGTCCCCAAGGGTACTGTGCCTAGGGCTTAGGGTTTAGATTTCGCATGCTCGGACTTACGCAGTGCCTTGAATGGATAGGTAGAGAGCTTTGGCCACCTTAGGTTAAACCCCTGAACTTTGTAGGGTTTAGGGTTTAGGGTAAAGTTTAAGGTTTAGGGTCTAGGGTTTAGGGTTTACGGTTTAGGGTTTCGGGAAAAGGCCCGGCCTCTGGCAGGGGGCTGGCCTGCTCAGCGAGGGAAGCGGCTGTCCCGGCGAGAAAGGCCTTCCCAGGTGCTTCGGTCGTTGGTGTTTTTTATACGCCACCTCCTGTTACCGTTATTATCATGATTCTTATGATGACTGGCATTCTTCTTATGATTATTAGTTTTCCTAGCTTTATTATTATATTATATTATATTATATTATATTATATTATATTATATTATATTATATTATATTATATTATATTATACTTCATTATATTATATATATATATATATATATATTTATTTATTTATGTATATTTTGTGGGGATACCTAACTCCCTGAAGCAATACATAAGACTAGCCATAGCCTAAAACCTCAATCAGGTACCTAATCAGATCCCAACCCCATCGTCAACATTGACATTGAGTACGCGAAAAACGAACCAGCGTTGTTGTTGGCTTTCATGGGTTTGAGCTCTGATTATACCACAAACCCGATCGAACGCGATCCATCCCAAAGGGAGGCCTAAATTCCCCAAGCCCTAAGTATGATGAAAGCTAAGCCCCGAAAATCCCCCCCCCCCTCCCCCCGCTCCCCCCCCCTTCCCCCGCGCCACTAACCCCTAACCCCTCAACCCTCAACCCCAAAGCCCGAACCCCAAGAAGCGCAGCCTGGACAGAACACCGGCCCATCGCCGGCACCACATGCCTTCCAGGCGGCTTTGAGGGCCTTTAGGCCTCAGAGTGGGGGGCCTCCTCCTGGCTGATCATTGTTGCTTTCGTGGCTTAGGAGAAAGCCCTAAACCCTAAACCCTAAACCCTAAACCCTAAACCCTAAACCCTAAACCCTAAACCCTAAACCCTAAACCCTAAACCCTAAACCCGAAACCCTACCCTATAGAACCATGGAATAACCTCAGAAAAGATTTGTGGGAGAGGCTCTGGGCAAACGTGTACAGGAGAAGGGCACCCGGCCGCGTCTGCAGATGCAGTCGGCGGAAGCTCTCAACCTTTTTTACGCAGCGAGCAGACCTGCAAGCTGCATGGAAATTTTCTGCTCAGCCCTAAACCCTAAACCCTAAACCCTAAACCCTAAACCCTAAACCCTAAACCCCTAAACCCTAAACCCCTAAACCCTAAACAGGTGCAAGAGATGGCTGAAATATGGCTTGTGTCTGCTTTGAAGGGAGGCAGGCTCATTTGGGACCCTCTCGAGCTGTAAGTACATCTGGATCGGGTGATCTACTACTTGCTTAAAGGGATTACAATTCTTTATTCTCCTGGGGTTCTTAAGCAAATAGTAGTGATGCTGATGTCGCAGGATGGATCTGGGAAGGTCCAGAAAGATTATTGTTTTGCTCTGTGCCTGAGAGTAAGATGAAGCCCATAGGCATCGAACAAGCAACCTACCTCGAAATTAGCCCCCAACAAGGCGGTAACGGTATCCAGCCAAGGATGACTCGCAACATCAGGCCATCAAAGCACCACAAGCCTCGAAACCTCAACCTTGATCATGACCTGCTACAATGAACAGTAATTTAGTAATTCTTAACAACTACTGTCCATGAGCAGAAGAACTTCCAATGGGTGCACTTCTACACTTTCTCCGACCTCACGAATTGATCTGATAGTATGCCCTTTTCGGCCCCCGAAAATGACTTCTGGGGACCCCTTATATACCCCTGACGTGCCCTGCAAAACCCAAGGGTCCCCGTACTTCAGAACACTGTAAAGAAGGTAAGGGGCCATATTCAGGTACGATGTAACACCCTAAACCCTAAACCCTAAACCCTAAACCCTAAACCCTAAACCCTAAACCCTAAACCCTAATCCTAAACCCTAAATACTTTTTTAGATCAACCCAAGCCCTTTGCCATCCTTGTAGATGGGTCCTTGAAAACCAATCCCATTCTTGCGAAACCAAATCGCAACCCTGAGCCCCACACCCCACAACCGAAATGCCAAAGCTCGGTTTCGTTGACCGTAAACCCGAAACCCTAAACCCTAAATTATAAACCCTAAACCCTAAACCCGAAACCCTAAACCCTGAACCCTAAGCTGAAAAAATAGGAATCGTTCACACGGGGCGTGTCGTCCCCCCGGACCCTGGAGCCTGGGCACAGCCCGCGGCAGCCCGAAGACGATGCGCAGCCGTCAGAGACAAGGCAGTGTTGGGGAGGCTGGGGGTATCGTCTTTCAGGTGTCAGGGTTCCAGGTGTCGGGTAAACCCTCCACCCAAATCCATGAATTGAGAGCCTTTCAACCTTGAGGTTTAGGGGTACTGACCCTAAACCCTAAGCCCTCAGGTGTGGTGTTTCTGGGGTTCAAGGTCTGGAGGTCTGGGCCCAAGGCGTGTGCAGCGTAGGTAGGTGTTCAGTTCAGACTTTCGGAGTGTGTCGGGTCTGCCGCGAAAAAGGTGCCTAACATCAGTGTGTGATGTATGTATGCTTCTGAGCGTGCATATGTGCATGCACTTCTTGTTTGCGTATGCATGCACTTCATTGAGCCACTTCATTTTTTGTACAACCTATCTATCACACATACACATGTGCAGGTGCGCGTCCAGCGTTGGGTAGGCTACATCACACACATGGATGTGAACAAAACAGCCATTCATATCGCTGCGCTTGGACCAGGCAATCAGAAGGGAAAGGGTGAGATCCAAGCCAGCAAGGAGGGTGTTAGGGTTCAGGGTTTAGGTCTGTAGGGTTTCAGGGTTTAGGGCTTAGGGCTTAGGGACTGAGGGTGGTTTGGGGTTTGGGGTTCGAGAGACTTTGTGCGCACGCCTTAACCAACTAACCAGTGCTACCGGTGCACGGCGAGTTTATTCCTTCCCTGTATGTTTAAGCGAGTTAGGTACCTGATAGCCCCTATACAATATAAACCTTCAAGAAGTATGTTCTGCACTGATTCCCTTATTCCCAAATTCTCAAACTCCATGCTCTCAGAACTAAGCTGGTCTTCAGGCTCTGCAAGCCATGGCGGGTGACAGGACAACGAAAAAGAAAAAACACACACACACACACACATGCGGGACTAATAGGCAAAGTGAAGGATTTCCCTAAACCCCAAACCCTAACCGCCAACCCTAAACCCCAAACCCTAAGCCGCTCCCTGCAGCCCAAAAGACACTTAACTTAGGGTTACAAGCATGCTGGACTCAAGGATTATTTAGGGGCCGGTTTTGGGGTTTAGAGACCCTGAGGATTGGACTTTACCCTCAAACCCTAAAATTTAACACCTAACCCCCTAAACCACCCCTAAACCCTAAAACCCTAAACCCTGAAAACCTTCAACCCGAAACCCTAAAGCCCCACCTTGCCGCAAACCCACCTGTCCTTTGGGTTACAGGCTCCTGAACCCTAAAACCCTACAAGCCTTAAACCTAAACCCTAAAACCCTAAAACCCGAAAGCCCTAAACCGCAAACCCACCCTCCTCAACCCTAGACCCTAAACCCTAAACCCTAAAACCTAAATTCCTAAACCCTAAACCCTGTCCTTGGGCCCGCCCCAGTGGAACTCGGGAATCAAGTTGCCGAGGTTGCCTGCCTCGCAGGTGTACCTGGGCACCGGGGGATCGGATTGTAGGGTTTAGGGTTTAAGGTTTAGGGTTTAGGGTTTAGGGTCTAGGGTCTAGGGTTTAGGGAGCATCTGCACGCCACAACAGCGCGCTGGACCACCTCTCTACAGTAGGTTGCTTTCGAGAAGCGGTTTAGGGTTGAGGGTTTAGGTTTAGGGTTAAGGGTTAAGGGTTAAGGGTTTAGGGTTTAGGCTTTAGGGTTTAGGGAGCAACTCGCCGACATGGGGGAAAGAGCGAGAAAACTGCACCGGGCTTCACTGTCGATAGAAACCAAACGCCCTAAGCCCTTTAGGTAGAACCACCCTAAACCCTAAACCCTAAACCCTAAACCCTAAACCCTAAAACGACAAAGGCACTTGACATGCTTATGAGCGGCTTGAGAGCAAAGCCCGCAAAACCTGACCATGAACCCTAAACCCTAAACCCTAAACCCTAAACCCTAAACCCTAAACCCTAAACCCTAAACCCTAATCCCGCACCAAGGAGCTCTTTGGAGAAGGTGCCATTGGCGAGCCACAGGCCAGGTATGGCCGTCATGCACTGGCACCCGAAGCACCTCGAGGGCTCATGGGGCCTCTGTTTTAGGGAGGTTTTGTAGGGGGTTTAGGGTTTAGGGTTTAGGGCTTAGGGCTTCGGGTTTATAGGGTTTAGGGCTTAGAGTGAATTGTTAAGAGTTCTTAGGGTTGAGCGTTTCTAGGGCTTAGGGCTTAGACTGGAGGACTTTCCTAAAGGCCTGTGAGGCCTATAGGTTTATGCAAACGTATGCAAACCATCTGCGGTCAGCCACACTAACCAAATCTTCAGCTCCTTTCTGCATGGCTCGCGTGAGCCTGAGCCTGTCGTCCAATCACCAAACCCCCTACTAAACCCAAACGCTAAACCCTAAGCCCTAAGCCTAAACCTTAAACCCTAAACCCTAAGCCCCAAACTCCAAACCTTAAACCCTAAACCCGAAGCCCCCATTTCCAGCCCACCGGCTAAGTGCTTCATGCCGGGCAACGCTGAACCCGGAAGCCCCGAGGCTGGGAGCTCGCGCTCCATTCGCACATGATGCGACATTTCCTCTATGAAGCTTCTTATTCTGTAACAGAGTGCATGGTAGTTGCGGCATGATAGGGTATATGTGTGAAACATGTCCTAGTATATGAGCATATATATATATGTATATATGTATATATTTAGTCGTAGATGAATATACTTGCTTTGTATGCGTGTGTCCATATATGTATATATGCTACCAAGAATATATATATATATATATGTATATATACATACATATATATATACATATATGTATGACCGGATTTGAAGGCATCAACCCCGAGGAGGCCCTGGCGATTCCTCATCTGGGCGGGCAAGCACGGGCGGAATAAACTCCTTGTCCACCTTAGCTTAGGGTTCAGGGTTTAGGGTTTAGGGTTCAGGGTTCAGGGTTTAGGGTTTAGGGTTTAGGGTTTAGGGTCATGTTCGAAGCGTTTCAGCACGGTGCTGGGCTGTCGTATACGATCATATTAGTATCATCTACGAGATGATTTGCTAGAATCTGCTACAATGCACTATGATACACTGCAATATGCTCTAACTAGAAAGCACTTCAATATTCCATCATATACTACAACTAGGCCTCAGAGTTTAGTGTTCAAGAGGGGGGCATCTGTCACCACGCAAGGTGGGATGCTGCCGCCCAGGTTGGCCCTAAGACCTCCCCCCTGTCTGAAACATACCCGGGGCCTTCAGCTTAGGGTTTCAGTGGGTGGCTTACAAGGCTTATAAGGGAACATAACTCTTAAGGAAATGAAGGCCCACTCTGACCCTAAACCCTGCACCCTGCCTGCGATAACTGCCGGAAGCTTTGAAACCCTCGGCTATTTCGCTTAGGGATTAGGCCCCTTGCACTTGGGGGGGGAGGGGAGGAGGTTTAGGGTTTAGGGTATTTAGGGTGTGGGATTCAAGGTGTACGGTTTAGGGAAACAATACCCCCCCCACCCCCCCCCCCCCCCCCCCCCCCCGTCAAAAAAAAAAAAAACAAAGAAAAACAGAGGGCCTTTGACCTAATCCCTAAGTCCTTGACCGAAGCCCTAAGCACTTAGGGCCCCGAAGCCCCTGAAACCCTCAAACCCTCAAGCCCTAAAAGCCCTTAAGCCCTAAAAGCCCTTAAGCCCTAAAAGCCCTTAAAGCCCTTAAGCCCTAAAAGCCCTAAAAGCCCTTAAAGCCCTAAAAGCCCTGTAAGCCCTAAAAGCCCTTAAGCCCTAAAACCCTTAAGCCCTAAAGCCCTTAAGCCCTATAAGCCCTAAAGCCCTAAAAGCCCTAAAGCCCTTAAGCCCTTAAGCCCTAAAAGCCCTCAAGCCCTAAAGCCCTATAAGCCCTTAAGCCCTCTGAGCACTCAGGGCCCTATAAGCCCTTAGGGCCCTAAAGCCCTTAGGGCCCTGTAAGCCCCGTGAAACCCAGCTCCAGCTCCAGCTCCCGGAGCGGCTGTGAGCCCAGCCCAGACAACCGTAGGGTCAGGAAGGCTCGGCCTGAGCTTAGCTCTTTTTTTTTTGTTGCTTTCAGGTTTTCTTCCTTTTTTTTTATATTTTGGTTGCTTTCAGGGCTTTTAGGGTGGTTATTTCAGGGCTTCCGTGATTTTGATTCGACTTAATATTATTATTATTGATATTATTATTATATATGTATTTATTTATTTATTTATTATATATATATATATATATATATATATATATATATTTTTTTTTTTTTTGGGGGGGGGGGGGGGGTTGGGGGTTCGGGTTTCTCGGATCAAAGGCCTGCCAGAAAAGCCCCAGAGAGCCCTGAGATTAGCTTTTCCGGCTTTTGGACTGCACCTTTGCACGTCTTCGTGTTTTCTGTGTTTGCGAAAATGGTTTTAGGGTTTAGGGTTTGGGGCTGTTCATGGAAACAACAAGACCATGGAATTATCTCATTTCCCGGTTCTGAGCTGTTCAAGCCAGAGCTACGAAAGGGTCTTTGGAGCCTTATCTAGAAAACCCACCAAAATGCAAGGATCAAATCTCCCCGTGTTATGCTTATGAGGAAAAGAAATATTTTGCGTCTGTGATTTTTTGTTGTGGGGGGGGGGGGGTGTTTAGGGTTTAGGGTTTGGGGTTTAGGGTTTAGGGCTTAGGGTTTATGGTTTAGGGTTTAGGGGCCTGAGCCACGAATACCTCTCGTTGTCCTTCAGGGCTCAAGAACGAAGCAAGAGGGGGCAGGCCCCAAAAAAAACAACATGCCCTGACCCACATGGGCAGTTCTCTCGAAACCCTAAACCCTAAACCCTAAACCCTAAACCCTAAACCCTAAACCCTAACTAATTTGGCCTATTTGGAGCTTTAGGGTTCAGCTTCGGGGGGTTTCACGTCAGAGTTTTGGGTCTAGTTAAACGCTTTCCCTCCGCCAAAAACTTATTCGTGCCGGTGCCACTTGATTCAAGGCAGCCCTAAACCCTAAAACCTAAAACCTAAACCCTGACCCCCCCCCCCAAACCCTAAACCCTAAACCCTGAACCCTAAACCCTAAAACCTAAACCCTAAACGCAAGGCCCCAGGCACTCGCTTGGCCCGTCAAAAGGGCCACACGAGCTTTTTCTGCATCGCTGCTGCTTCCCCAGAGCCGCAGTTTTGGTCCAACCCCTCCGAATGGAATAACGAATCTCCCTGCCTGCAATCACGAGAACATAACACGAGACAGGGTTAGGGTTTAGGGTTTAAGGTTTAGGGTTTAGGGCTTAGGGTTTAGGGGTATCACAATTTAAGTTCTCGAGCTTCGAAGGCACGACCCAGCCTACACTGCATGGATTTCATGCAGAACCCCTGCAGCGAATTAGAACCTAGATGCCCAAAAACACGAGAGCACAGACGTGACTGTAGGAGTACGAGGCGCTTGTCTCCTGCACCTCTGACAGATCAAACCGTGGACTGAGATCTCGAGCTTCAAAGGCACAGCTAAACCCCGCATGCGTTGCATGCAGGACCCCTGCAAGCGAATTTGCAGTTGGATGAAACACTGCGGTGAAACTGGCCACCCTCCCACCAGTGATTCAGGTCCCCAGCCCAACCCCCAAACTGCCAAAAAAACATGTGACAAAAAAAACATGGCAAAAAAAACAACAACAACCTTATCGAGTAGCAAAAAAACACTCCCCCGCCTGAACCTCTTCACTGGCAGAGGTACTCGGCCAAGTCGACACCCAAATGGATGGCCTCGTGTGCGCACGCCAAACCCTAAACCCTAAACCCTAAACCCTAAACCCTAAACCCTAAACCCTAAACCCTAAACCCAAAACCCTTACCCCAATCACCTCAAACACCCCAAACACCATGAGCCCCCCCCTAAATCCTCAACCCTCGCGCTGCTAAACCAGGATGGCCCTCAACACCCTCTGCAAAACTACTGCTTAGCATGATCCTCTTAAAACCCAGTAAGGGTAACTACAAAATCTCCAAAGGGCCTATGCTAAACCCTAAACCGTGAACCCTAAACCCCAAACCCCAAACCCTAAACCCTACACGCCAGGCCAAGGCCGAAAGCAACGCAGCCTGACCTCCTGAGACTTCCTGGCTCCTTGCGGACTTAAAGAACGACATGACATCCCCTTATATGTCCCCCTGCAACAGGGTTTATGGGTTAGGGCTTGGGGGTTTAGGGCTTTAGGGCTTTAGGGGTTTAGGGGTTTAGCGGTTTAGGGGTTTAGGGGCCATATGGGCGGTTGTCAAAATCATGATCCCTTTTGGGGTGCCCTAAATATTCGGTGCCGTATTATGATAGGGATCCAAACAGGGACCATCATTTTGACAACCACCAACTAAAATGTAGCTAAACCGAATCCAAAATCCCTGAGCCGCCAAAACCGAATCCAAAAAACCCTGAGCCGCCACACACCGCGATTAAGAATGACGACACCTACACATCTCAGGAGCTGGAGAACAGAATACATTCTGGACTTAGGGTCTAGGGCTCACAGGGTTGGCCCTAACCCTACGACTTCTTACACTTACCCGTATTGCGACGTCCGTAAACCCTGTCTTGGAAACCAAGCAAGCCGAGACCCTAAACCCTAAACCCTAAACCCTATATAAACCCTAAACCCTAAACCCTAAACCCTAAACCCTAAACCCTAAACCCCTCAACCCTAAACCCTAAACCCTATACCCTAAACCCTAAACCCTAAGTCGCAACCCAGCAAGCACGGGCGAGCCGGAGAGTAGGGCCGCAGCGCAGGCCCGAGCCACGTACATGCTGGCCAAGTTGTCGACCTGGGAAGGGGTTAGGGGTTTAGGGGTTTAGGGTTTAGGGTTTAGGGTTTAGGGTTTAGGGTTTAGGGTTTAGGGTTTAGGGTTTGGGGGTTTAGGGGTTTAGGGGTTTAGGGGTTTAGGGTTTAGGGTTTAGGGTTTAGGGTTTAGGGTTTGGCGTATATGGGGTTTCCGAGAAAAGGGGGAGCCACTTATGTACTCAAAACATGCAAAAGGGTATCCCTATGATCGGACATCCTCATATCGGGAAAGGGTTTAAAGTTCAGGGTTTAG